TATCGCCCACCCCTAGTTCGGGTCACCCAGCAGGAACGCAGTCGCTGCATCCAGACGAATCTCTGGGATCCAGATTAGTTTTAAATATTTCTCCCGTTTCTTTCTGACGTGCATTTAAAATGACACATCAGAGAATAATACTAAAAACAGACCGAGCTGCACCTCAGGAGACAATTTCATGAAATCTGACCAAATGTGTCAATAAACCTGCTACTGTCAGTGTGATTAAACGTGCTGATCAGCTGATCTTTAGGACGGTGACCTGTAAATGGGGTCCATACCAGCTCTAATCCCCTGACATCTGAGTTAATCTCTAAAGCAGATGGAATAACTCTGAATGGATTACACAGGCTGACGATGAAGCTTCTGCAGATGAAAGTAGGTGTTGGTGATACGAGGAAGAAAACCTCCTAAACTTGGACAAAAGATCACAAGTGAACAACCTCCTCTGTGGAGCAGCAGATTATCCAGGAGAAAGCACTCTGGGTTTGGATGACATTAACAAAGATCAACCCAATCACATCAGCTCCTCAGGAGATAACAGGAGGACAGAAAGCCCTGAAGACTTCCCGGCCTGTGCTGACAGCAGAGAGCACGAGAGAAGTCGTGTATTTGAAACAGAATATTCAGTCGCTGCTGTTTCACTTTCAGTATCAGCAGCATGATGATGATAGAAGTGATAAAAATATGAGCGTCGGTCACAGCGACACTGACGTTACTGAGCCTGAAATACAGACCGACACCAGAGCTCGCACACAAACTAACAGAATAAGAAACGATGCATTTACTCAACTTATCAACTATCACCCACTCACTGTTTGTTCATAGCAGCAGGATTTAAACCAGCAACCCTGTGCATGAGTCATAATCTCTGACACCTGCAGGATGTCATCAAGCAGGAAACGCTGAGTGTGACCCTGAGATGAGGACGAGGTCAGATGTATTTATAGAGCAACAATAAAACAACTAGAAATAAAAATGTTTAAAAGTCAAAGCAGAGAATAAACGATGACACGCTGGAGCCGAACGCCAAGAAGAAATGCTTTAAGATTTAAAGGAGGCGCCGTCACAGCTGTGTGGATGTGGACATTATTCCACAGATGTACGAGCACACGGCAGACTCGTTATTATAAACCCATCACTGATCAATGATTTGTTGCTAATCAGTCACACTGATGGAAAAATGTGGCACTGTTGGATCTTTCATGGTAACATTTGAGTGAAGATGAGGCTGAAATGACTTTAAATTTAGTTCTTACTTAAAACGTATCCTGCAGATGGTCTGATTGTAATCTGATTACATTTCACTCATTAAATCATGTCAAACGTTTAACAGCCACAGTCTGAGTCTGAAAATGACCTGAATCCTCCTCAGAGGCTCCACCCAGAACCAGATCTGCCCCAAAGTGTCACAACACTTGTTATTAACCTCTGTCTCTCTTCCACAGCATGTCTGTATCCTGTCTTCCTTCTCTCACCCCAACCAATCACAGCAGATGGCCCCGCCCCTCCCTGAGCCTGGTTCTGCTGGAGGTTTCTTCCTGTTAAAAGGGAGTTTTTCCTTCCCACTGTCGCCAAAGTGCTGCTCATAGGGGGTCATATGATTGTTGGGTTTTCCTCTGTATGTATTACTGTAGGGTCTACTGTACAATGTAAAGCACCTTGAGGCGACTGTTGTTGTGATTTGGTGCTGTATAAATAACATTGAATTGAATTAAACCACGTCCGAGTCAGATCCCAGGGTGGTGCTTAACTCAGGGGAAATAAACTCGCAGGTAATTGAACTAACTCTGATCAGCTGATGTGGAGCAGAAACAGTTTCTGAGAGTTTACTTTTAAACTCAGTCCTGCGACGTTAAAATGACCAAATTTACAGCAGAACTACAAAAGTTCATTTCAGGACGGCCGTCACAAACGGTTTAGAAAACAGGAAGTGCAGGGTTTAAATCCCAGAAGTTACATAGAAACAAAAGAGCCAACATGTGCGCTTCGCTCTTGACTCTCAACTTATAAAAACACGTCTAAACTCTAAAATTAATTATACTTAGTAATTAAATAGGACATGAAAGCAGGAGAAACCTGCGCGGCATTAAAAGTGCTCCGAGCTGCAGTTCCTCTAAAGCCAGTCGAGGGTTAAACCCTCCAACATCTCTCCTCATACTCACCACACATACATGAGCACCATCGTGCGCAGGCGGAGCACCGGGTGGATGATCAGCTGCAGGACGCCGGCGCCTCGGCTTTTGTGGTTACCGGCTTTAGAGACGCCGACGCGCTGCAGCATCAGGTGCTTCACGGCGTTGCCGTTCCTGCTCGCCATAAAACGCAGGACCTACAAAGCAGAACACAGGATCAGCCACGTGATGCTCGGTGTTGCTGAAAGTGAGCAAAGGAAACGGGACGCGCAGACCCGACGAGCCGATTGATCTGACTTTACTTTAGCTCGCACTTCTCTGCAGTCTTTAGAGGGAAAGTGTCAGGATTCGAACCTGGAGTCTGCAGTTCTGTCAAATGCAGCTTTGCAGGTTTATCTGCATTAAATGCTTTCACACTTAAAGTTACACTGTGCAGGCCTTTGTCAAACCCCTCATTCTCACTCCCTTTGCTTCCTGCTGGTTTTTCCATACTGAGGTCAGACGATATCAGCGTCCTCGCCCAAACCTCCTGAGTGTAGGAGGAGAAAACATCTAATCACGTGCGCTTCAGACTCCAACCTTTGGAGAACTTACTGAGGCTAAAAGCTGGTTTCTCAGCTCACTGAAACATGTAAAAGCACCTGATGAACAGAGTAAAGGAGGATCTGTTCTCAGTTTTAAATATCAGTGATTCACACAAACATGCAGAGGTGCATTTTTCTAATCCCGGGAGATTCCCGCAGAGCAGCTCAGGAATGCTTCATTGTGTTTACCTCCTCAGCTCGCTCCGCCTGGCCCTGGGAGTACAGCCAACGAGGGGACTCTGGAAGAGTGCTGCAACCACAGAGGACGAGAGGAAGACGTCACTGGGTGTGTTTGCTTCGTTTTACAGACACAGCGAGTGCAGAAACATTTGAATGTCACAATCAGAAGCAGCCAAAGCATTTATTTCACACAGATTCATTAATGTAAACACATTTCCATGGTGATGAGGAAAAACTCGAACATAATAACACAAGATCTACACTTTGTGCACGATTCCCAGTGTATTTATAACACGCAGCCTCCCATCCACATTCCTTACATTCATCCTAAAATCACACTTCCAGCTCCTGCAGGAGGGTCCGGAGCTCATCTCAGGCCAAGCAAGATGCATGTAATCTCTCCCAGTCTAACCCAGGGTCTCCTCCCATTGGCTGCAGCTGGAAAACCTCCAAAGGGAGGCGCCCTGACAGCGCCTGAACCCGTTTGGACCATCAGTCTCCACGATCAGAGGTACAGGAAGCTGCACAGTCTTTGTGTGCAGAGCCTGGATGCTGTTCTCTCTGTGGTGTTTACAGATTAACAGTATAAAGCTGAGCGTGTCTGTTAACCTTCCTGGTTTAGATCCCAGGAGAACACGAGCTCTGTGTGTTTAGGACGTCGCCCTGATGGGAAATGCTTCCAAACGTCCAACAGTTTACTTTACTGGTTTTTCGTGGCTGTGTGGGGCGATGCGTCTCTCTGGGGTGTGTACTCACACAGACAGCAGGAAGAAGAGCACGCCGGACGAGTTGGCCGCCGTCGCCAAGCTCCTCCACGGCTGGATTAAGTAGCCCAGGGCGCCGAACAGGGCGATGCCGACGGCAAACGTCATGCTGGTCAGCGTCCCTGAAAGAAGGACGACGAGGGATCGAGATTATTAATGTTTAACACCTAGAATTAAAACCCTGCCAAGTAAATAATGTGACCGTGCTGGTGGTTTCCTACCCGTCATGGCCCAGTAGGACTTGCCCACGTACTCCTGCGTTAGCACGAAGCAAACGAGTCCGATGCCGCCGTTCATCAGCCCCACCAGGAAACGAGAGGCAGCGAAGACCTCATAGCTGGGCGCAAAGGCGGTCACGTAGCCGAAGACGACCTCAAAGAACAGGCCTGTGGAGGAGGAGAGGGACAACATTTAGTCAGGGAGAAGGAGATGAGGATGAGGAGGAATTTAAAGGATTTTAATATATGTGGTCATGTGCAGACACGTCCAACAAGCCTCCGAAGACACAGAAGAAGTCGTCTGACTCGAGGCAAAAACTCAGATTTAACGCTTCTATATCTTATTTTTAAAAACAGAACCGTATGAACAGCAGCACTGACACAATCAGACGGAGGCAGACACACAACGAGCAGGAGACAAAAGTTTAATGATTTATGTTGTGGCACCGAGGACGGAGTCTGCAGCCAAATTCATGCAAATAAAGATCAAAGACTAATGATCTGGTGATTTTCAGATGAAGCTGTGGTCGATTAGTCGTTAACAGATGTGCAATCGAAGATTACATTTCAATTTCTGACAGATTTCTGGAGAATCACTGAAAAAAAAAAAACCAAGAAAATAAGTCAAACTCTCTTCAAAATGTGCCAGTTTATAACACGACTGACTTCCTGTTTCTTCCTTTATCTCAGTCGTGCTCAGTAACATGTGACCTCGTTCAAAACATTTTTGTGTCCAGTTCAGGGACTCTAGCAGCTACAGCTACCTGTCAGTCAAAGAGGCCACGCCCCTAACCATGCAAACCTAAAGACTCGATACATTTGAGACAAATTAGTTACAAAAACTTGTGACAGCTGCAGCTCTCTGATCTTTCCAATTCAATTTAATTTACAAAGCAACACAACAGCTGTTGGCTCAAAGTGCTTTAAGGTGAAAACAGAGAAATCCAACAAACCGTCTCTCACTGCAGCCACTAACAACACAACACAGCTGAAAACACTGTCGCTGTAAACTGAAGCTCTATAAATAAAGTTTAACGTCCTGTGAGCTTCCTGTTGGTTTGCAGCCATGCGAGAAAAGAAGCACGCCTGTGTAGACTGACAACCTTCTCTAGATCTCCAACATCTTCAAGCAGATGCTTCAGAGTCTGGCAGGCGTTTAAAGAAACCCTCAGAAATCTGTAACTGGTGCAGGGCCCGGCCTCCAACAGGAAGCAGAGTGATACAAAAACCGAAGCCTAAAAAACCCAAAAATTAATCGCAGGGTCTGCGAGTAGTTTACGCAGCCACGCGCACTGAATGATGTCGTTTTATTATCAGTCATAAAACTGTGGCCAGCCGGGCTACGAGAGGAAAAACAAGAGCGGCAAACAAAGAGTTTCAAGCTTTAGAGACAAATACAGCAAACCTATAAACAGCAAAACATAACGCTCACTAACATCACAGACGTATTCAGGAAAAATGCACAAACATCAGCCTCAACCTCACCTGTCAGGTAAACGGGTCTCCGGCCAATCTTATCCGAGAGAGGCCCAAAGACGACGTTCCCGATTAGGAGCCCGGCGAAGAAGAGCGACCCGGCGAGGCTGACCTTGTAGGCCTGCTGCTTGATGAGGAACCACTGAGGAAACACAGAGACAGGAGGCAGGTTTCACCTGTGGGCTCTCAGGTTAGCCGGATGAGCATCCTGCAGGAGTCTGCCGCTCTCACCTCAGTCACGATGGAGTCGACGTTCTCTGTAAAGGTGACGTGCTGGCTTACAGGGACGCCGTCCTGCTGCTGATGCTGCTGCTCGGTGCGGTACTCCGGTGTAAAACCAACCAGGACGATGAGCATGGACTGACAGGCCATGTACACCTGAAACAAACAGACACAGTCTGGGGTCATTGCAGGCAGACTTTTTATTAAAATTAGAGGCTTTGTTAATGTGGGGTTAAAACTGTTCACACATACAAGGACCGAAACCTGACTTAGACACCTGAGTCACACATGGGTAATGTCCCTCCCTACACAGGTGAAAATAACTGCCCTCCCAGTTGTAACACACACTTATGAACACAAGGATGGCTTTTAAAAGGAATGTGACATGGCTAACTGTAAAATCTGCGAAGCACAATAAACAAACTATCAATGTAAACAATATATGGACATATATCCTATACAAGATATGTCAGCTTAATCAGTAGAAATCATTAACAGCGTCGGTCCTCAAATAAATCCTGTCAAAATAATGGAAACTGAGTTTTTCTTCAAGCCTGAGTAAACTGAAGTACATCTAGCTAGCTAGATGGAGGGTTAGATTAACGCTTAAACCAAACTCCACTTAAAAAAAATCTAGTCCGTCGTTAAATGATTTTTACGCAACTATATATCAAAGTGTGGAGATATTTTTTCTATACTGGGATACTTTGGGTGCTTAGAAAAGAGTCGGCTTTTGTTTGAGCTGTGTCTGCGCTATTTTGGTTGAATAATCGTGTAAAACAAATAACAGGTGCCCGTTAGCGTAGCCAAATCACAGCGGTAATAAAAAGGCTAGCTACGATTATTACAAGTTTAAATACTTGGCCGAATTAAAGGGTGGCTGGAATAGATATCTAAAGAAAATCAAAATATGACTGGGAGTAAAGTGCAACTTGACATGAGACAAGGAAACATTATTTTAGTAGTTTCTTGCAGGCAATCTGGAGAGCACTTCACTGCCTGGAAAAGGAGCCCTTCTGCACTCGTACATCGCTAAAATGTGAGCTTGTAGTTGCAGCTCGATGTTGTAGTGTTATAGTAATGAAACCGTAATAAAAAATGTGTTAAATTAAGTCATAAATGTGTCGTTTTGTTGAGGGTCCACAGTTAAATCCCTGAAAGCCACGTATGCGCTACTCAAGCTAACTGCTACTACGTTACCGCGCGCACACTTGCTGCCATTTCCCGCGAACTAAACGCTAATTTTCACATCCGCTCACCTGAGTCAGGACGAGGACAGCCACCGCTCGTTTCTGGTAGGGCCCAAACTCTCCGACGAGCTTCAAAGCTTCTTCTAAATCCATCACAGGTGAGACAAGCATGCAGCTGTGCGCGTTCCTGAGAGGAAGGATCTGCGCAAGCTAATATTCCACCGCGCACTTCCGGCTTCGCTTGAGCCGGGCGTCCATTTTATCGCGCTCGGATTTTAGGAGGTAAAATAACACACCATGAGTCTGTGTAGCACTGCCAGGTTTATTTTGAAAGGCACCACAGTTTCTAATAAATAATCAAACTGCCAATGTGTAAAGAAGCTGATATGACAGAGTCGGAAGAAACAAGAAAATTCGCCCGTGCAGTGCTTTAAAAACAAACTTTAAAAAAAGTAAAAAGGACAGCACAGAGTGTAGAGCCACGTCTCACTCATAAGGCATTACAGGAGTACATGATTGTGAGATGCGCTTCATAAAACGTCCTCCATCCTCTCAGGTGCAGAGAAGCAGAGCTCCAGGGTGGATTTACACACGAGTGATCCAACACAGTGTGAGTCCAGTGTGCCCTTCAGCCCCCACGGCTGTGACGCGACATTAAAAGGCACATTTTTCTCACTTTGTCTCCATAACATGTGACCGCTGCACGTGCACATCACAAACGTCCTTTTCCACTTTCTGAAACAGTTCTGCACATGTTTGTCCTCAAGGATGAAGCTGCTAAAATATGCTAAAAACAAAGCTAACAACAGCACACATTTACAAAGAAAGAAAACATGACATCTCAGTCAATGTAAGTTATCATTCAGAGGCCTTAACACAGCAATGTACACGTTCATGATTAAATGATTGCCTCACAACAACATCACTGAACTCAAACATCACATTTTTACTGTTCTGGCATTGTCATAATCTTATATTTCAGAGTGGATCTATTCTGCTTTTATCATACGTGTAAAAAAGGTGGATGTGGACACGAGCTAGTCTGCTTGTTTCAGGCAGAGGATGAAGTGAAGGGCTGTTAGTACATAAAGGATTATTATTGACCTGTGAATCATGCAAAGCCACCATAAAAGATTCAGAGAATAAACATGAGCAGGACGGATCCACCTTAAGAACACTTTTATACACACATATCTTGTAACTGTACTTCCCAGCTGTGATGGTATTACTTCAGTATGAAGACACATTACTTCTTCATAAACTGACAGTTTGTACACTGTGGGATTATTTTCCTTCTCTCTCCAGATGCAGGCAGCTGTGGAAATCAAACATTTCTCATTTCATTCATTTTCTTTTGTTTTGGGATCATTTTTTGGTTCAGTGCTCTCGTCCTTCTTTGGCTGTTCAGCCCCTCCGTTCGTAGCAGCAACAGCGGTATAAACAGTTGTTGTTTCCGCTGTAACTGCTCGTTCCTTGCAGGGCAAACAAGAATCAACCTTGTTCTTGAATGATTCCAAAGTATGGTAGAGGAGTAAAAGTAGACCTACAACTACTAATAGGGTTACGAATAAAGCAATCAGCACAACCGCCCATGTCTTAAGTGAAGGTGTCGGGTCGGTCTTTTTCTCCTGGTAGAAAGGATTTTTAAAGGCTTCGCTGTCTTTCTCACTAAACTGATTCTTTATTCTACAGGAGAAAGTTTCCACATGCTGTGTTTCCGCATCAATGATGATCTCCGCGGTGTTCTCTTCAGACCTTGCCCACTCTCCTTTACCTCCTTCTATCTCCTTCCAGAAGTACTCGACAGGCCCGGCTTTGCTAACGTCTCCCTCACACACCAGTTCACATCTCTTTGAGGCTGGGCTACATACCAGCGGCTTCGGTGCCACCTCAGGCTGCGGCACATCCTCGATCACCACAATCTTATGAACCTGACTCTGGACCTGGTTGTTGATCTCCACTGAATACAGTCCATTGTCCTCCGCAGTCATGCTCCTGGTCTCCAACATTCCCGTGTCATTGTTCAGAGTGGTCCGGCCTTTAAACTTGCTGTAATATGTCAGAGGAATCTGGTCTTTCACCCACTCAGCCAGCAGGTTCTTGCCGTATTTCCACACGACGCTGTAGATCTTTTCAGAGACCTGCTGAGGGCTGAGCTGAAGTGTGCCACCAACCCTGATGTACTTCACAGTCTGGGCCTGAGTGAAGCTAACGTTAGCCACCAGCAGCAGCAGCAGCGCTCCGAGAACCACAGACCGACCCATGTCCACTGATCAATACAGGAGTGACAGAGTATCGATGATCACATCAATAAAAACTCACTCGTCGAAATCTTTTCAGGCAGGTCAGTAAAAACTGAAGAACATGAGGCGGTTTGAGTCGCTGATAACGAAACAGACCTCCGCCCTTCTCTTCCTGCTGAGCAAAATGTCGAAAACCTGCAGCGTCGCTCCCTACTGAGGGGCGGAAACTGCCGGTCAC